ATTAGGTTAAAATTTAAATGCATTTAAGGTAGCACATGCATCATTTTCATACAATATTTCTCATACAATATTATATGGTAAGATATGATTGACTAATATAAAATTAAAATTAAACTTTCATCCAATTATATTTTGTCACATAATGTTGTATGAAAATAATGTATGTGTAGTATTATTCTTTAAGTTAACATATCTTTACCATAATTAGTGTAGTACCCTAGACCAGGCAAAAAGGTATGTACTCGCAGGTCGATGGGTACTCGCATCAAACAGGTGCATACGGATATTTTTAAAATTTATCAGTACCCGATCCATTCGTAAAAAATTGGGGTGAGCCGGGTAATGCCTGTGGGTGCCCGCAAATACTCACATTTTATTTAAAAAAATAATTAAAAAATTAAAACCTTAAAATCATTTTCCCAATCTCTCTCACACACAAACCGAAGTCACATTTCTCTCAATCAGAGAAAGAAGAATTGGAAGGGTGGAGACCGAAGAAGAAGAAATATGAAAAAGTGAAGAGGGAGAAAAAGATGAAGAAGAATTGGAGAGAGGAAGAAGAAGAAGAAGAAGAAATGTGAAAAAGGGGAGAGGGAGAAAAAGAGGAAGAAGAATTGGAGAGAGGGAGAAGAGGAAGACGAACTGAAGAAGAAGAAAAAATATTGAAAAGGGGAGAGGGAGAATAAGACTAAGAAGAATTGGAGAGAGAGAGAGGAGAAGAAGAAATATGAAAAAGTGGAGAGGGAGAAGAAGAAGACGAACTAAAGAAGAAAAATTATGCATTGGGGAGGGAGAAAAAGACAAGAAGAACAAGAGAGGGAGGGAAGAAGAAGACAAGAAGAGTTGGTGAGTTCCTTATATAGCTCACCGTTTGGAAGGAGGCATTTCCTGAAGGCATCAACCATGGTTTCTTGGTTGCAGTAAGGGATTGAGACCTTCTCACGGTTGAAGCATCCCACATAGTCTCGAAAGGGCTCATTTTAGTGCTGCCGGATTCGATAAAGGTCACTGGATAATTTCTCTAGTTTTTTGTTGTTAGCAAATTGCTCCAAAAAGGTGTCTATGAGCTGAGCAAACGAAGCAAATGAGTGGTTGGGAAGGTTGGTGTACCTTTAAAATGCTAGTCATACTAGACTAGAGCCAAAACTCTTATACATGAACGTCTTACGGAGATCTCTTGGTATGGCAGCGGCGAACATTCTTTGTTTGTAGAAGGCTACATGATCATTTAGGTCAGTAGTTCCATCATACAACTTCATGTTGCGGAAAGTGAATTTACGGGGCATATCCGCAATAGCAATGGTATCTACGAATGGTGACTCGGCATAGCTTTGGGGTTGACTCTTTTTTAGGGGTACTGGCACGCCTTGGATGAACTGGATCATTGCTTCCATCTTGGCCAACTGCTTGGTTAGGGTTTGTTCAAGGGGTGTGGTTACAGGTGCATATAGGTTGTCTAGGAATTGGGGAAACACTCTGGGATTAACAAGTATCGTCGAGTTGTGTGGGGAGCCTTGCTGGGTTAAGTCAATCTCTAGGTTCATGGGATGTGTTTGGTGGGTAAAGGTGGTATTGCTGAGGTGGGGTAAAGTGGCTTGTGTAAGTGTCTTGGAAGCCGAGTGGGTGATTGGTAGAGTGGTGACTAGTCGGTTCAGCTCGACCATTGATGTGGTTGTTGTTGGGGCTGTGGTATGATGGTCGACAGTAACTCCATTATCCAAGGTCAGGAAGAACTGTCTGGGTTGAATGAGATGCCGAGAGGAAGATGCATGATGTTCCTTATCTTGGAGTGCTTGGTTCTCCGCGCGGATGGCAGCATTCTGAGCCTCTAGAGCCTGATATTTGTTGTTGCTTTCTTTCACTAGCGTGGTGAGGGCTGCAATTTGTGCCGCAACATTGGACATCGGAGTCTCTGTGTTGTTAGTCATGATAGCCGAATGGGGACGTGTAACACCTTCAACATGTCATTTTGAATCGAAAAATTGCTAAGGCCCTATGGTGGGCGCCAAATTGTAAATGATACAATTTACAATTAAACTCGAAAAGACGAAATCTTGTGATGTGAGCCACTGACAATCTTGATGGACCTGCTAAGGGTGCCTTGATGATTGAAGGGGAGATTCAGTGATGTAAGGGGGTCGTTAGAGTACGCAGAGAGCTTGAAAGTAAGAATACTGAAGCTTGGAGGTGATTTCTGAATGCCTAACGAGAAGGTTAACCCCTGTTTATATAGTAAACCCAAGGGGTCTGAATCCTTATAGGATTCTGAATCTTACTTAGTAGGTGTGTTTTCCTTTTAGAAGGAGATGAGATATTTTGCCTTTATCGGCTTAGACTTTTCTTTTTGGGTGAGATTTGAGATCTTTTTAGAAGAGAAATTGACTAGGATTCTGATCCTTGTTGTGGTTGAATGGGTCGGACTCAATTTATCTTAACTGGTGGGATGACCTAACTCATACAGCAGACATTTGCCAAGGTATTCTAAGCGTGAGCTCAATTGGGATTTGGCCAAGACCCTGCGTCGTCACATATTTATGATGTTATTGGACCTCATCAGGTTCAATACAATTTTTGGCCCATACAGTTAATAATTAGCTACAATGTTTTCAAAATTAACTATAGAAATAACATAAGTTACAAATCTTTCAAAAATAAGCCCCAGTCAACTGGTTGTTAGTGTTAAATTTACTTGTGTAAAGTAAGAGACTGATATTTTATAGAATTAGATTATTTTTCTTTTAAAATAACAAATAAGAAATTACTAAAATATTGAGATAACCAAACAACATTACCCAACAAAAAAAAAAAAAAAAAAAAAAAACAACCACCGGCATGGCTACCAAGCCAACACTCGCCAAGGTTAGATGACGCAAGTGACATTGCTGATTGAAATCGGTCACTGGTCATTGTTCTTATCATTTTGGGTTTCTTTTTTTTTTTTTCCTTTTTTCAAATACTTTCAAAAATTATAATTCGAAAATATATACTATAATAGTATTTGAAAATAAATTACTAGGTTTATTTAACAATGGGGCTGGAAATATGGGATACCAAAAACAACAATTTATTAAGAAATCAAACAAACCAAATTAATTTGGGTGATTCCATTTCATTCAAGATAGATCATCCATAAAAATTGAATTGATTTCAACCTAATCTATTGAACTTACAATTTAATTTGATTTGAACCTTAAAGGGGAAAATTTTAAACCCCTAAGATTTGATGGTATTTATAAACTCTTCATGTTTATCGAAATAAGTATGCACCCCTTGTTTGTAAAAGTTAATGATCAAAAAAGGCCAAGTAAATCCCATATATACCATTGTTATTACCAACTACATAAAATAATAAAAAAATTTGATGGGCTAAGAAACTGGGTTTGTGATGATGAATCATGTTTTGAATTGGATTTTGTGATGTTGCAGGTGAATGTAGGGGTGGAGCCAAGAGAATAACTTTGGGGGGCTATATGTAATGTTCAACTAATGAGGACGAGGGAGGTCGAGCTTAAAAAATGAATTTAGAAAGTTGCAACGGAGGAGAAACTAAAATTATTATAATAATACCATGTGCACTAACCATTTTGTACTAATCTAAATACTAACATTGAAAATTTGAATTTTTCTTTTTTGGAAGAATTTCAAATTTTCAATGTTAGTATTTGGATTAGTATAAATCGTTAGTGCACATAACATTGTCCAAATTATTATTAAGGATGAAATTGATATATTTTTATGTAAATTTTGAAAACTTTTGTGGCGTCTAGAGTGGCACCCGGGTGAATGGAAAAATTGTGGGTTGATGGCCATGGCTTAAGTTATATGATTAAAATGATGAATAAAGAAGTTGTGGCTTATAAAACCCCTAATTAATTCATTTTCTAATTTATTTTGGCTTTTGTCATTTCGATACTCTTTTTTAACATTTAAGAATGAATCATGCGTGTCGAATAATTTTAGAAATCCTAAAGAAGTTTATGTATAAAAGAATTAATTTCCCAAATCATAAACTAACAAATCCTTTCAAATAAACAAAGAGTAATGCTACAGCCACCGAAGGTTGTGCACCAAATCTGTGCATTGAATGACGTGGCAAAATCCTGACCGTTGATTCATTATCAGTTAATATTAATCAATAGTCAGGATTTTACCACGTCATTCGGTGCACATATTCGATGCGCAACCTTCGATGACTTTATCATTTTCGATAAACAAAACCAACTTGATATAATCTACATCACATGGCAAAGCATTATTTTCATCCAACCAAATCAATTTGGGTTAGTTAGCTCACTTGGTTTGTTCTAGCTTGTCAATGTTGTTAGAACTAATAAAATAAAGGAACAGTTTAATTTGAACCTAAAATTAGACCAACACTTTTAAATCATACTAACCCACTCAAACTTATCTATAGACATAAAATTAGTAACTTTATCGATAAAAATAATAAATATATATTTTCATTAGGGTTAGAAAAATGTCACACCATTTGTTAGGATGGAATTAATCCATCTCTAGACATTATAGATAATGTTATTAATATAAGCTAACAAACATGCCTTTTTTAAGATTTTAGTTCTACGTCCCCTCATTTATCTTTATGTTTAACGTTTTCTACCAGGAAAATGATAGAGTTACTGAAAAGTTTACACGAATTTGTGCACCGAATGACGTGACAAAATCCTGACCGTTGATTAATATTAACTGATAATAAATCAACGATCAAGATTTTATCACGTCATTCAATATACAAATTTGATATAAACTTTTCGATAACTGTAGCATTACTCTTTCTATAATTTCACTTTTCTAAAATGTGAAAAATAATTTAACAAAACAATAATACTACTACACATTTAATAATATACGAAAAATTATGTGACGTAGGTGGAAAATTTGGCAATTGAGTAAATAAGATGAAAAATAAGGCGAAAAAGGAAAATAGCATATATCTAATGAAAATCTTTTCTGCCTACCACATCAGTCAAATGCCATGCTTCTAGTACTCAAACTCCTTCGTTTAATTACTTGGCCGCTTTGCAAAGACAAAACCTCTTCTCCTTCTCCACTCTCTTTGTTCTCACAAAAGCCCATCAACAACAAAAATGGCGTTTCAAAAGATCAAGGTCGCCAACCCCATAGTTGAGATGGACGGTGAGACGTCTCTTCATCGTTCATCTTTCTATATTTTCGTATTTGTTTCGAATATACTGATTCATCCTTTTCAACTTTCTTTTTGAGATCTGGGTCGTTTAGAGATCGTAAACATAAGAATTACTTGATTCTTGAATATCTGTTTGTTTACCTTCTATTTGATGGTGTTATGAATGCTTCAAAAGCGCTTTCAAATATTCAAAGTGCTTTTTTTGAGAATCACTTGATAGAAGCAGTTATTGTGACATAGAACTGTTTCTAATCAAGTGCACACTGCCGATCGCTAGTTATGACATAGAACCGTTTCTTATCAAGTGCACACTCCCGATCGCTAGTTATTTCATCGGTCCTGATTTCTTTTGGCCTTAAGATATTTTTTATCGGTTATTGTTTATGTAGGCTGTCCAATGAGGTTACTCTTTTTCTTGTTGGATCTAATTCTGAGTTAAATATCTTGGCTTTAGTGGACTTAAGATCTGATGAATAGTTTAACTTCAATCTATGTTTATGAACTATTAACACTTTAAGGAATCAATTTATAAAACTTTCCTATTAGATTTTTTTTTTTTTTTTTGGTCGTCGATTTGACATTCTTCAGGAAATCGTGAGTTATCGGAGTTATTATTGGTGGATTTGTGATTTTGGAAACATAATGTTTTTTTTTAATCATTCCTATCAGAGCAATTGTTGTTCTTTTGGGTTTATGTTTAGTTGTTTTTTTTAATTTTTTTTTTTTTTTTTAGTAATAGAAGAGATGTAAGCTGACTTGATTTGAGTTTTCTGATTCATGTGCTATGGTTTTTTTTTTCTATAATACAGGTGATGAAATGACTCGAGTATTTTGGAAATCAATTAAGGATAAGGTAATTTTATATATTAATTTTGATTCTAGTGCTATGAATATATTTTCTGGTTGAAGCTTGGAGGAGATTTCTTATTAACTTAAATTTTTCTTCTAAAATGACAGCTTATTTTCCCTTTTCTGGAGTTGGACATAAAGTACTTTGACCTTGGCCTTCCACATCGTGACGCTACTGATGACAAAGTTACAATTGAAAGTGCAGAAGCCACTCTCAAGTATGAACTTGCCACTCTGTATTTTTTTTAGATTGGATTCTCCTTTGTGATAGAAAATTTCATTTGATCTAATTGCTTCTAGAAAGGTAAATTATCATTATTTCAATTTGTGGTAGTTAGTTGTGAACTTTATTTGGTCAGTCAGAGTATTCTAATAATAAAACAGAAAATAAACTGTACTTTCATAGAGATTTAGTGCTGATATTTGCATATGTTCTGACTTTTGGTGATAACAATATTTTATATCAATATAGTGTAATTTAATTGCAGTATTGTATTAGCACCTTTTGGGCTTCCATTTGACAATTGTGTTATTATTTTAGGTACAATGTGGCAATCAAGTGTGCTACCATTACTCCAGGTACACATCTGAATTTAACTGGAAATGTGCAGTTATTTTACCTGTAGAGAATTTTAAGCCGTGTGGATTCTTAATGCTTTAGTAACATCCTCGAATATTGATCCTGTTACAAGATTATGATAATTGTTGTTGTAATTGACAGATGAGGGTCGGATGAAGGAGTTTAGCTTGAAGCAGATGTGGAAGAGTCCAAATGGGACAATTAGGAATATTTTGAATGGTCAGTGAGTTTGGACTTGTATGGATGAATAGTTTTTGTTGCTGTTTTTCGTCTAACATTTTGTTTTGAGCTTGATGATCTGTCATTGACTGCAGGCACTGTCTTTAGAGAGCCAATCATTTGCGAGAATGTTCCCCGGCTGGTACCAGGTATACGCTGTTCCTGACATTCCAGTTTTATATTTTCCGTGATTAAGTGAAGCTATATTCATTGTCACTGTTGTTAGGCTGGACAAAACCCATCTGTATTGGAAGGCACGCTTTTGGTGATCAATATCGAGCAACTGATACTGTTATTAAAGGAGCTGGAAAACTTAAATTGGTGTTTGGTAATCTTTTATTCTCACTTAATAGCCTTTTGAGATTCATATAATCACATCATTTTCTGCCCATTTTCAGCTCTAGTAGTATTATTTTTGTAGTCTTTGCAAATGTCTCTGTTTTCTGTTTTTGTTGTGTACGATGAGTGGGTGGGGATAATAAATTTATAAATTGCTTGTGCAGTACCAGAAGGAAAAGATGAGAAGACAGAGCTTGAGGTCTACAACTTTACGGGCGAGGGGGGAGTAGCAATAGCCATGTATAACACTGATGAGGTTTGAATCTGGAAGTCTTTGGTGACTCTTATGAACATTATTTTGTTTACTGCTGTGAACAAATTATATTTTCTTATATTTATTCTGGGATTGCAGTCCATCCGATCTTTTGCTGAGGCTTCTATGAACACTGCTTATCAGAAAAAGTGGCCACTTTACCTTAGCACCAAAAATACTATTCTTAAGAAATATGATGGAAGGTAAGGAGCCCGCTTTATTAGTCTGTAATTTGTATGTATTCTTTTGGAATATTAGTCTTCAGTTATTTTTGTTGGACCTCCTAAGATTGTAATTTTTTTGTTCAATGAAGATTCAAGGACATATTCCAAGAAGTTTACGAGGCAAAATGGAAATCACAGTTCGAAGCTGCTGGGATTTGGTAACTGTCTGAGGAAATTTTTTAGGATGATGATTTATGCAGGTACATTTATGCATATTAATATTTGTATATTTTAATTGGCAGGTATGAACACCGTCTCATTGATGATATGGTAGCTTATGCTGTCAAAAGTGAAGGGGGTTATGTCTGGGCATGCAAAAACTATGATGGAGATGTCCAGAGTGATTTTCTAGCTCAAGGTTTGTTTAGTGAACTGTTAGAGGTGCAACTTGCAGAGCCTTCTGTTTCAGTAAGTTATCTAGGATTCAGTTCTTTGATTGATCACTAACATCAAGTTTCCTGTCTGTAGGTTTTGGATCTCTTGGATTGATGACATCAGTACTGGTACATCTCCTGTCAATGTTTCTTCTGTTTATTTTTTTATATTCATGCTTTCTCTTATTATCATTTGCGCTTAGAAGTTAAATTTGTCTCCCCTTTTTTCATTGTGTAGAATCTGTATCTAACATTCTATATTAAGTTACTAAGTTACTTGAAGATTATGTTAACTAATTCTTGTCCTTGCATATAACTTTTGCAAATTTGTCTTGATCATTATCACTTGTATTGTTGTTCCTTTTTTTTTTTTTTTTTTTGGGCCAGATAACGGAATTCTACCATTTTTTTTTTTTTGGTTATGTTTGCTCTCAAGGTGACAAAAATTTAGTAGCTTGGATAAATATCATTTGGTTGAGTACTGTTATTTGACCAAACATGAAAATTTGAAAGTAAACAGATGACTTTCCAATTTGTTATAAATCACATGAGGGTTGGGACTTGGGAATATGATGTGAGAAATATTTCTCCTGGGGAAATGGATTATTTTCTTTGGGCAGACATTTTGTCGTAATATGTAGGAAGCAGGTATTGATTTCTGAGAAGTTGTTGGAATTCTTCGGGACTGGTGGGTGACTAAAGTGTTCATGGAAGTAAATTTTTTTTGTAGGATTTTGTGGCTTTGACTATCATACTGGTTTGTTTTTTGGTGGCTGGATTAGAATTTGGAAGACTTTGGTTGAATAATGTTCCTTTAATGCTTTATTTTTATATAGTATCTGCTGAGGGCTGTATATCTATGATCTTGCAGTATTTTCCTTCAGGAAGGATTTTTTTTTTTTTTTTTGAAAATTTAAAATTAAAGAGGTGAATTTAGTTTTTTTTCTTCATTGCAATTTTCATTGCGTTTCTCTTTGACTTAGAAAGTACAAATGGTCTTGTCCTTTATTCTTTTGATACTTTTAATTGTCAACATTTGGAAGTATACTGGTGTCTCTAATTTGTTTTTTTTTTATCTTAAAGTTAAAATTTTAGCTGGGTAAAGGAAAATTTTAGGGGTGAATAAAACTTGTGGGGGTGGTTCGGTAAAAGAAACATCAAATAGGTTTCGTGGAAAACCAAATAATGATAACATACATCTCTCTTTCTTCTTTTTAATCTTTTGCCATGTGAATTTCATATTTGACTGACTGGAGTATGAACTCTGTCCAGGTATGCCCTGATGGAAAGACAATAGAAGCAGAAGCAGCTCATGGAACAGTCACACGTCATTACAGGGTTCATCAGAAAGGTGGTGAAACCAGCACAAACAGCATAGCTTCTATCTTTGCTTGGTCACGAGGACTTTCACACAGGTATGATATTATTGTTTGGCATTATATGAAGTTCTAATTATGTTCATTAGAACATAAGAAATAAAATGTTTTCAAGTTTTATAGTAAAATTTTACTGATAATTTTGAAAATGTTCTTTACAGGGCGAAGTTGGATGACAACGCGAGACTCCTAGATTTCACTGAGAAGCTAGAAGCTGCATGCATTGGGGTTGTTGAAGCTGGGAAGATGACCAAGGATCTGGCACTTCTTATCCATGGATCCAAGTATGTGCCCATTAAACCACTATATTTATACATGTGGATTTCTTTGATTATTTTTTGTTTTCTATTTTATGTTCTGCTTTACATGATTGCCCATTTATTATTTATAATAAACTTCTCATGCGTGGTGTAGGGTTACTAGGGAACAGTATCTGAATACTGAAGAGTTCATTGATGCCGTTGCTGCAGAGCTGAGAGCAAGACTCTCTGCTTAAGCTCAATTCTGTGAGTACTTTATCAACTTGGCTTGGTGGTTTAATGATGCTTCTACTCTAGTTTCTGTTTGCTCTTTATTTTCATAAAATCTGGAATGAATAATTCTAGATAATACATCGTCATATTGCTTATAAATTTTTCAGAATTTCTAGTTTTATTTTTTATGCAGAAAATAATGGTATTTGTTGTCTAAATTTGTAAATGTTTTGCTGTGTAAAATGGTTGCAGGCGCACACAGGCAAGTCAATTGAGAAGCAAGCTCTTGGGGTGATTTGAGCTTTTGCTGAGAAGAAATTATAATAAGACGGGGAATCGGGGGCTGGGGTTATGGTTCTCATTTAAATGCTGGAACTGAGGGATCTCATGTTGATTACTTGAACTTAATTTTTAATTTAAAGTCGTCTTTATTTGAATTTTTAATTTTTTTTTTTTCTTGACCAACTTGTAGAGTAGGTTTCTAATAACTTATAAAATTCATCAGCAATATTAATGAATTTCAAAATGCAGAAGAATTTAATTAGGTGGCTATACAATTTTAATGGAAAGTTGAAGATAAAAATCTTGCCCTACAGGCTACAAGTTTAGACTAATAGATCGAGATGTCATAATTTATTTCACAGTACGACTCATCCTAATCTTTCATAAAAACACTATTGAACTTGATACCATGGGATTTAATCCTTCTTAAACTTTGTGTTTTTTTTTTTTTTTTGTTTTAAATGCATTTGAATAAAAGATGGAATTGCAATTACGATTTTATAATATTCTACTTTTAGTGCGGAAAATTCACTTGCTTACTAAAATGTTGTCATTAGAGTTGCATGGTAACTTTTGGTCTGTTCGTTTTTTTATTATTCTTATCTTATCCAAAATATGTCACTAGAGTTGCATGGTAGCTTTTGGTCGTTTGTTTTATTATTTTTATCCTATGTAAAATATATATTTGTTTTTCTATTTTTAAAATTCAATCATATTCTATTAACTATTTTTAAACTCCTTAGGTTTGTTAATTTAATTAAACATCTTCAATAATAAAAAGTTTATAAATTGATAAAAAAACCTTTACCTACTCACATTTGTCATATTGCAGTCACCATTGTCAAAAGGTGGTTGGAATTTGTCGTAATGGTATATGACCAGTTGGATCTGGTCGGTTGTGCGAAGATATGACCTTTTTTTGGCCACTACGGCTAGATCTTTGACCATTGTTGACGACCAAATGTGGGTAGATTTGGTTGTCAATGGCTAGATCTGACTGTAGATCTGATATTTTTTGGTCATATCGACGCACAACCAACTGATCGTGTACCATTACGGCAGATTTCGGCCACCTTCCAACGGTGGTGGTCAGAATCTAGCAAATGTGGATGGGTGTGAGTGTTTTTATCAATTTATAAACTTTTTATTGTAGGAGGTGTTACCTAAATTAACAAATCTAGGGGGTGTTTAGTAAATCAACAAATCTATGAGGTGTTTTTGTTAATTTTTAAATTCTACCTCCTAATAACAACCAAACTCAACTTTTTCAAAAATACTATAAATAATAAAACAAACATAGCCAAATTATTGCTAACAGTTTGAAATTTTTTTAATGTCAATGAAATCTACTTCCGTTATTTTTTCCAAGTTCCAACTTGATATTCCAATACTCTTCTGCCTAGGGTTGGCAATTTCTAGGTATGGGAACAAGTAGTAGTTTCCTCGTCCCTGCCCCCAAACACCAAAAGAAATCCTCGAACCTTTCTTCATCCTCGAAATTTGAGGGTCAGGGATACAGCCAGGTAAACTTGCACAGAAGATGTAAAATCCGTTCCATAATCGTACCCATACGGTACCTTTCTCAGAAATTTTAAAATATTTTTTTTTTTTCAAACCAAAAAGAAATAAAGTTTATAATAATAATACTCTTTAGAAGTGTATTGAATTAGTAGACTAACTATTGACCATTGAAACACACGGAAAAAAAAAATACAAGAACATTAAATTTAGTTAATAGAAACCAATATTATTTAAATTAAGAAAATATATATATCAAATAATTAATCAATATATTTATAACCGTTTCATCCAATTTTGATATATAAATGAAGAAAAATTTATACAATTTACATGTATATAACATATATTTAATAAAATAAATGACAATTATTAATATATTAAAAAGTTAGTAACTGCGGGGACGGGTACATGTATGGGTTTTTGCAAGTAGACAACTCTATTTGCCCTCCTACCCATCCCTAGTACCATGGACGAATTCTTTCTCGTCCCCACCCCTAACCTCAAAATTTTCTAAGTGAACCCCTAATGGTGGAACAAATGGGTCGGGTTAGGCGGGTCAACCCTAACCCGATCAACATTAAAGAGAGTTCAACTTGGACTGCCAATAAGGCAGGCCGGGTTGAACCCGACCCGCATGCAACCCTCGGACGGGCCAGGTTGCCATATGGCAACCCGACGACCCGCGGGTTGCTGTTTTGTCCTTTCTGAGAAAAGACTGCCAACCCGCCTGGTTGACCCGCGGGTTGAGTTGGCTGAAAAAAAAAAAAAAAACTAAAATTAATTTGTTTTTTTGAATTCCCTTTTTACCCTTGAAATATAACCGTTTTATAGCAGTTGGAGAGGTCTTTTTTGTCATTTTCTTTTCCCAATTTTTTTCTATTAATTGGCCCTAAACTCTAATATTTTCTCACAACTCAAATTCTCTCATTCTCTCTAATCTCTAATCTTTATTGAAATCTCTCAATTATTCTCTTAATCTCTTTGTTATCAATTTGCTCTTATTTTAATTTTTATTAGTTTTTGCAATTTTCAATTCATATTTCCAATTTTCCATATTCCAATTCTCCTTCTTTAATTTTTTATTTCTTCTAAATAAATTTTTTATTTCAACTACAATGGATAGATATTTCTCTTCCATCAATTTTAATGAGAAAGGAAACTACTATCCTAGTCTTAGTCCCGCTGAATTTACTAACATGAATGTAAGAGGAGATTCAAATAGTACCGCTTTCCCAGTCTCAGAATCCGATACTACTCAAAATATGCCCTCGATTCCTCCCCATGCTGCTACACCTACAACTCCCGGTGGTTCTAGAAGTTGTCCTCGTCCAATTTCATCTCAAGCTGAAGCGGGTTAATCAATTGCTGTCAAAAGCGACGACAGACACAAATCAGACATTTTGACGCATTTCGAAAATTTTTACGAGGCAGAAAATGGAGTTCAAGTGAAGAAAGTAAGATGCAAGTATTGTGGAAATGTTTATAAAGCTGATTCAGGTAATGGTACTAGTACTTTAAAAAGGCATGCTAATAAACATATTGCTCAACATGAAAATAGAGAAACCAATCAAACTCAAATAACTAATATGGGTACTACTTGGTGTTATAATTCTGATATATATACGGAACAATTAGCTTTATATATTGCTGCAACTGATCAACCTATTAATATGGCTGAAGATAAATATTTTGAAAGATTTATTAAAAATTCATTTTTTCCAGGGTCTAGAAGTTATTCTAAAACTGCAACTAGAAATGATTTAATAAAATTGTTTAAGAAAATGAAATTAGAATTAAAAAATAAAATACATAATTGTCATGTTAGTGTGACTATAACTGCTGATATTTGGAGTGGTAGAGCTAAACAAGATTACATTTGTGTGACTAGTCATTATTTTGATAACGAATCTAAATTAAATAAATCTTTATTAGGATTTAGATTAATGGATGTGGATCATAGTGGTCAACAAATTTTTAATAAAATTGTTGAAGTTTTAGAAGATTATGATATTGTTAATAAAGTGGTAAGTTTAACTTTAGATAATGCAAGTGCTAATACTACGGCTGTAGATTTTTTTCAAAGTAATTATCATTTTTATAACAATTTGAAGTTTTTTCACCAATGTTGTGCATGCCACATTATTAATTTAATTGTAAAAAGTGGTATGAAAACAATTAAAGAAAATATTGATAGAATTAGGGATTGTTTAGCTTGGATTACTGGTAGTAATAAAAGAAATGCTGAATTTCAAGATGCTTGTATAAAATCAAATATGTCTCCTAGAACTTTTGCATTAGACATGCCTGTTAGATGAAATAGTACTTATTTAATGCTTGATTTATGTTTACCTTATGCTAATTTAATTAGTTATTTTGAAGCAAATAATAGAGATCCTCATTATTTGGTAGAAAATGATTGGCATATAGCTAAAATATTTCATTATTTTCTTAAAATTTTTTACCAATCCACTTTACAACTTTCTGGTGTATATTATTCTACTAGTCCATTGGTAATACATACAATTATAAAAATTTCAGAGTTATTTACAAAAAACAAAAACAATGAAATTTTAAAGGAACCAATAAAGGCAATGAAATTTTTTTTTTTTTTTAAAATATTGGGAACCCATTCCTTTTTTTTATTGTTTAGGTGTTATAGTTGATCCTAGAATTAAATTAGCAGGTTTAGAAAATGGTTTTGACAATTTAAGTGAAAATTTACAAACCGAAGCATATGCCAATCAAATAGGAGAGGTAAAAAATTGTCTTGCAAAAGTATATTTCCAATATGAAAACAGGTATGAGAACCCGCAAAGAGACGAAATATCCAGGGAAGCTGCATCAAAAGAAACAAATGAAGACTTCTACTCTTGGAGTGCACTGAATAGGTCGAAGAGGACCCAAATCCGAAGCACAGCCTCCTCTTCAGAAGCACCACCACCAACAACAACAACTAATATACTGTCCTCCATGCAGTCGCAGAGTAATGAGCTTCAACAATATTTGGCAACCCCCGAAATGTTACCAGCAGATCCACAACAGAGAACCAACTTTGATGTCTTAGAATATTGGAAAGCCAGAAAATGTATTTTTCTGGTATTATCAAGACTTGCCTTGGATGTTTTCGCTGTTACTGTCTCATCTGAACGAACATTTAGTGCAGAATTTTAAATGAAAGGAGGACTAAACTTTCTCAAAAAATGATTGAAGTCCTCACATGTCTTCGGGATTGGGAACGGTCGCACTATCAAGATCAATACGAGGTTGTCGACCATACTTTAATAGAATCATTTCAATTTTATAATATAGTTGATACGGATGAGGGAAGTCCTAGTGAACCACCCCCAAATTAGTTGTTTTGTAAAATGTAATTTTTAAATTAATTGTTAATTATTGCACTTTTTTTTCTTTACCAAGTTTTTCTCCCATTGGGTTTTTCTTGGTGAGGTTTTTAATGAGGCAATAATTGTTGTAATTTCTTATTTTATTTTTTGATAAATGAATAAGTCTAATTTTTCTTATATTACAATTTTATTGTATTAAAATTGAATTAATATTTGAAATGTTAACAAAAAAAAAAAAATAATAATAATAATTTAATTGAATTATTGATGTTTGAAAAGTTAACTAAAAACAATTAC